TGAAAACAAGACCTTGGAAGTTTTTAGATTTGGCCCGCAACGCGCCATGATTACCTGCACTTTTCGAGCGCGCGATTTTAAGAAGAAAAACCGTCTTTCCAGGACCCCTAAAGTCCTCTGAAAATATGCTCAGAAAGTCTATTCAGATTGGTTTATTTGTCCTCAAGAACAATAGAACAATAGGAGAACCAAAAAGTCTTCAGGGAGGGTAGGAAAGGCAATTGTCCCCATGTGCTTTTTTTCGGGCGGTTACAGGCGGCACAGGGAAATGGAGCAGTTTTTCGCACGGGCGGTTACGGGCGGCACAGGCGTCAATGGTTAACCTAACTCGAAATCAACAAGAAATATCTACCTAAGTATTTTCCTATCAATTTTCATTATAAATTCAGCGAAAAGAAGCACTTGAGACATTTTTTTCATATATTTTTAGAGCTACATTTTGTGGCATTCTCATGATAATGAAAAAACGCGGCAGAAGAAGATTCAACGTGCAAGTTCCCTCAACTTATGTTTTCAGGTGTAAAATAGAATGGAGACAAGAAATAACTACTACATACATGTCACTTGGACGCGATTTTGCGCTCTCGTTGATTCTTGGATTGCGAAATGTCCAGTTTTGTGTCATCTGCTCCATTGCTTTGACCCGAGGTTTAAAGAGAATATCCATTGCCATCCCGCTTTCGTCATCAGAGATATCAACATTTGTCGAAAAAGCTACTCAAAAGGCCATTTAAAATCCAGGAAGAGCTATCACTGCTGTAAATGTTATTACATACAGATTTCTTTCAAAGCCCACCACAAAACATTCCACCAACTTTGATGATATTAAGCGGTACAATTTGTATTACCATACATGACATATTTACTGAATTAAAAGAAAGTAAACACTGACTTTTCAACGTCTAAGGTAAAGATGGCAGAGTATTTTGAGATGGATTTTCAAAGCAGTCTGTGTGTGAAAACAGCAGTGATCACTCTCCCTGGATTTTAAACGGCCTTTGAGTAGCTGTTTCGACAAAATGTTGATATCTCTGATGACAAAAGCGGGGATGGCAACAGATATTCTCTTACACCCATTGACGCCTGCATGAAATTGCCTGCGACCCACCCCTAATTTCGTGGCATTTTTGTGGAATATTTCAGAGCAAGTGAAAGCACAAAAATAAACCATATGCGCAGTAACCACAGACACAAGATCAGGTTTCAAGACATCGTTTATTTAAAGTTGAGTAAATGAAGGGCCAAAATATTAAAAAATATCAACAAAAAGAACTCAACTTGATCTGTAAAACTGTTAAGAAAACAACAAATTATATTTTTTTCTTTGCCACGTGACAAAAAGCTGAGAAAATTGAATATGCAAAAACAAGTTAATTTTTTACTTTAGAGGACAAAACAAAACCGAATACAACAGAATTTCCACTCTCTTACTATAATGGATAACATTTGAGAAAACACCAGAAAATAATGGCGAAAGACACATGTAAAAACCAATGTAAAAAGAAGAAATCAGATAATTTCCTCGCCGCACAACGAAATGGCACAGCACTGTGAAAGAAAAACGAAAGTTGTACATCAAAAAGACAACAAACACAAGCCAAGTATTTTGAGATAAATCCTATTTCAACTGTGTTAATTTAGTTCCCACTTTGTTCTTTTCTCAGGAGTTCTACAGTAGCTGTATGAGACTCCAAAATAAGTATATTTGAATGAAGCGAATAAACTAAACAAACGAACCACAGGGGTCACTGTAAATTAAATATGCAGAAATCCAACGTGTAAAAATACTGTAGTAGCTGAATGAGACTTGAAAAAATATATTTGAACAGGGCTCAAAATTGCAACTCACTGGTCGCCAATGCGACCAAAAATTGAGCACTGGCGACTAAATTTTCAGAACTGGTCACCAGCTGGCAACTCACGTTTTGTCCGATAACTAAAGAAAACCATGACACAACTTTGTTTTTAAATCTTTATATTAGGAAATCAATCGGATATGGTAGGTAGTATACAACTCACCTTTCCATCCCAAGTAAAATAATGTCTGAATATCACAAGATAATCAAAAAAATTGAATGTATTTCGACACGTCAATACTGCGTTCACGGCGCACCATATTGTTTCAGCAGCTTATTCCGAAACGAGGATCGCAGGCGCACTTCAACACCACATGCTTTTCATTTGCCACAAAAATGGCGGCAAATACCAATCAGTTGAAGGAATATACGTGAGTTCTTACGTGCGGGGAATGAAGATTCAAGCATGGCATTGTTTGTCGGCAGCGAAAGGCGGCAAAGAAAGCAAGTCAAAAATAAAGAACGACATTTCGAAGAAGTAGCAAAGAGAAAATACGCAAGGACCCATGTTTCTCTGACAATGAAAACCACGGACTTAAAACCTTTTATGCTTCGCTTCATTTAAAATGACTGTGGAGACAGCCATCACCTTCGGACCAGGGACATATCACCTGAGAACAACAGTAGCTTTATAACTAAGTGTTACTCATGTTGTTTTTAATTGTTTTCGCTCTTCAATTGTGACTTCTTGCATGCAAAGTAAAGAATAAAATCATGTTCTTGTGTAAGTTATAATTATGTAAAATAAGTTGGCGACCAAAATTTTTCCATTAGTCGCCAGCTGGCTTGTGAAAGAAAAAGTTAATTTCGAGCCCTGTTGAATGAAGCAAATAAACTAAACAAACAAACCATGGCAGTTGCCATAAATTGAAATATGCAGAAATCTAGCGTGCAAAAATACTGTTCACTTTTAAAACCTAAAATTCCCAAATAAAGGCAGTCAAATGAAAGAAATGTGACAGGAAGTTCAATAGCAATAAATTTTCATTCAATATGAGGCAAAAAACTTATCTCAAAGCATAAAAATGTTCAAAATTTCACAGACATGCTTCGCTGCATGACTGCATGTTTAAATTAATTCTTCACGCCAAAGCGAAAGCTTGAGATTTTGCCGACAAGTTTTGCAGTTATTTCATTGGCCATGGCTTTACCAATTGTTCTAAAAGTTGAATTCAACTTCATAGTAATACTGTACATTACTATTTTTGTTTTTGTAAGTCCAAGAAGCTGCTTTAAACCCACGATCTGTATTCAAAACTCACTTGAAAACGCACCAATCATCATGTTTTCACAGTGGTTGAAAGAAGGAAAGTTTCTTCACCAGAAAGGTTTGAGGACTCTGAACACCTTGCTTTTCCATTCTGAGGCCACCTAAACATGGATTTATGTTTTTACTTTCCATTTTAAGTGCCAAAGAAGTAATTTCTCCATTTTAGGAATGAAAACAAGACCCTGGAAGTTTGTAGGTTTAACCCACAATGCGCCATGATTACCTGCAATTTTCAAGTGCATGATTTTAAGACGAAAAACTGTCTTTCTAGGACCCCTATAAAAATATGCTCAGAACGTCGATTCTCATTGTTTTATTTGTCCTTAACAACAACAGAACAGTGGGAGAACCAAAACGTCTTCAGGGAGGGTAGGAAAGGCAATTGTCCCCACAAGCATTTTTTACGGCCGGTTCTGGCTGGCACAGGAAATTAGGGGTGGGTTTTCACACGGCCAGTTACGGCCGGTACAGGAGTCAATGGGTTAAACCTTGGGTCGAAGCAATGAAACAGATGACACAAAACTGGACATTTTGTAATCCAAGAATCAAAAACAGCACAAAATCGCGTCTAAGTGACATGTATGTAAAAGTTATTTCTATTTTTATTCTATTTTACGCCTGAAAACATAAGTCGAGGGAACTTATGCATTGAATCTACTTCTGCCACATTTTGAATTATCGTGAGAATGCCACAAAATTTAGCTCTGAAAATATCTGAAAAAAAAATTTCTCAAGTGCTTCTTTTCACCGAATTTATACTGGAAATTGATAGGAAAATACTAAGGTAGATACTGAGTGTATTTCGAGTTAGGTTAAGACAGAAAAATGGCTTTTGTGTTTTAGTGGATGTCCCTGAAATGGCCAAAAATCGTTAAGTCCTATGTAAACAGTATGCCAGCACAGAAAAAATATTGAAGTCCCCAAACATTTTATGGCTTTTTTTCAGAACTTTAGTGATTGCTCTCACTATCCATGTTATAATGATGTGTATTTGCTGTTACCCAGTGCAGATATTTGCCATTGATTAAAGGCTATTCACAACACTACAAAATATGCACCTTACTTTAGATGGAGCCATGGAGGGAAACCAAATTGTGTAGTTCAAATGAATATCTGTGTTTTGAGACTGATAATAGTAGAACATGATCCAGTGGATTTCATTTTCACATGGCCTTTCTTATTGTAGAAATACTTAATCAAAGACAGCTAATTAAATATGCATAAATAAGTGAAAAACGGCCATTTTTGGAGGGGGTCCTCCTAACTTGAAGGGAATAAAATACTTTGACCTAAGTTTTTGATAATCATTTACTTGCTAAACCCAACATTTGTGCCAAGTTTGAGCGAAATCTGTGATTTGAGCTGTACCACCTCCTGCCTGGTTTCCTTATGGACACACTCGTAAAGTTCTTAACAGTAAACGTAAAATTACTGCATTGTTTGCCCTTGTGATGTAAAAAAAAAATGGTTTGTGGTGTTCTTTGAGCTTTATCCACATGTGTTTTTTCCACAGGCCTTATGTTCGTTCCAAAGGACGCAAATTTGAGAGGGCTCGTGGCCGCAGAAAGAGCCGTGGCTACAAAGTGTAAAGAAAATGAGGCTAAACGTGCAACAATAAATTTATTGTTCAAAGGACAGCTTGACATGTTGTTTGAAGATAATGATAATCATTAGGAATCCACCATATTATTTCAAACAGTTTATTTTTAAGGGGTTTCACTGAGATGTTTAGTGGGAGAATGCAATTGGTTTTCACAGGCAGGCAAAACGTTTGTAACTTTTGTAGGAGAAAATAATTTTCAAGGTGGTGAAACCAAGTGGGGCAAAATCGCTCACAGCCAGTCTCTTTACCCAGTGCCTGCCCCTGATTGGAACACTGACCTGATATGACTTCAGACTTCTGAAAATAAGACTTTTGCTTGCTTGGACTCTTGCCTTGCATTATTTTCTTACTGCCCTTGGTTTGGGAGCACTCGAGTCATGTTTGAGGAAATTCGAATTTGAGTAAGAGTCATGGAATTTAAGCAAGCGAATACTAGCGTTAAAAACTGACGTTTCGGCGTTATTGTGATACCATTCTCAAGGCAAAGTGAATAAGTAATGCAAAGATTTGATTTCTGTACAGTCTCTACAAATTAGCATAATAACAATTGTTATGTAAATAGCAGTTTATTGTACTGTATAAAATGTGATTTTATTTTTCTTTGTTATCAGTACTATTTTATTTGTCTGTTTATTTATTTATTTGTTTGTTTATTTGTTTATTTATTTATTTATTTATTTATTCCTTTATTATTTTCTCGGAGAAATTAGCTAGGCAGCTACTCTTGTAAATCCGAGGTGAACTAAAGGTGATGTATGTATGTACAAAGGATCACAAGTTCTTCAAGTGAATACCTTTGCGTGAATCGAGTCCGTTTCCACATTTAGGGATGGTTTAAGTTTTCTTATAAAAAGTATCCCTAAACGTGCAAACGGACTCAATTCGCGCAAAGGTATTCACTTGAAGAACTTGTGATCCTTTGTTATTATGCTTATTTGTAGAGACTGTATAGAAATCAAATCTTTGCATTATTTATTCACTTTGCCTTGCGAATGGTGTCACGATGACGCCGAAACATCTGCTGTTAACGTTAATATTCGCCTGCTTGTGTTTGAAGAAATCGTTATTTATCAAGTTCTGAAATTATTGCATTAATTTGGATTTAATCATGCTGATAAGACTTTTTTGGGGGCTACTGAGAACGACCCTAGGGCTAGAACTTTTAATATACATTCAAACCACTATAAAGTGGCTACCCTTGAGGAAATGGGAGGTGGCACTTAATATAGGTCGGTCGCTTAAGGACGGTGCCTACTTTTGTCAGTGCGCACACGTTTGGCGCATCACGCAAGGCAGGTTTAAGCGCCATGTGCGCGCTGGGGTTGACACTGACGCAATCAACTACGCTACGAAGTACACGACTAAAATGAAAGCAAAATTTTCCCACTGTGACTCAATCAAGTTTAATGAACTTGTACTTAAACCAGGAACACCACAACAGCAGCATATGGCTAACCACGAACTGTTAACGTCTTCCAGCTGAAAAACTAGCTGTTATCTGTCGAAAATTATACTGAAATCCAACTGTAAACGTGTACCTGCAGATGGCGTGGTGTGCGGGCAAAACAAGTTCGAGATACCCAAATGTTTTACTTACTGGGGAGGTGACAGGAAAATATGTAACGGGCACTAAAAGTTTTCAAAAAAGATCAATAACTTTAAAAAACGCGTGGCTACCCCTACATTTTATGTTGTGAAATGGAAGTGGCAAGCCTATTCAACACGTGATTAGTTTCTGGTTGTGAGCAAAGGGTATTTAGACTGTATTTTAGCTGAACCAGAGGAATGCTGTCGGAGACCCTAAAAGCACCGTTGCAACGATTTGTATATGTAATAGGACTACATTCTTGTCCAATTTGGAAATAATTGGGTGAAAAAAATTGCGAGGACAGCCAAAATTGGATGAGGCCGTAGGCCAAGTCCAATTTGGCTGTCAGGAATTTTTTGAATCCAATTATTTCCAAATTGGACAAGCATGTAGTCCTGTTACTTATTAATTATATAGCTCGTGAGGTACTAAATACAGCTTTGCAAGGAAAACTACAGTAACTGAAGAAAAACAGACTGGGCCCTCGATCTTCCGAAAGTTGGGAAAGCTTCGAAAATATCCGGTGATCTTCAGAGATCGCCGGATATTGTCACAAGTCTTCGGAAATCCTGGGAAGTGTTCGGGTGATCTTCGGAAATCTTCGGGTGATCATCGGAAATCTTTGGAAGTGTTCGGGCGATCTTTGGAAGTACTCAAGTGATCTAAAGAAATCTTCGGAGATGTTCGGGTGATATTCGGAAATGTTTGGAATTGTTCGGGTGACCTTAGGAAGTCTTTGGAATTGTTTGGGTGATCTTCGGAAATCTTCGGAAGTGTTCGGGGATCTTCGGAAATCTGTGGGAGCGTTCGGGTGATCTTCGGAAATCTTCGGAAGGTTTCGTGTGGCCTTCGCTAATCTTCGGAAGGTTAATAGCTTAATTTCATTGGCTGAGACAAACTGTCCTATTTTTTCCCAAATGGGACAGTTTCTGCGTTTTTACTCAAAGTCTTAATTGAAAACTGTCCAAATTAAATCCCAAATTGGACAGTTTTCAGAAATTAAAGGATAATAGCTGTGCTGACAATACTGGATAAACTGACTGCTACATAATTATGTTATTAAAAACATATCAAAAATGGTTTTTATGTTACCATTCACCATGTAGTATGGCAAG